GATAAGATATCAGCATCATCTAAGAGTGTAATATAAATATTGATCCATATTTGATTGATTCTACTTTGGCTGTTATTATGTAGATAGGAAAATGCTAAATTTGAAAGATAAAAGAATATGTAGATATCATATAGTTGCAGAAATTTAAAAAGTTTTAAAAGAGAATTTTTAGTATATTAGAGTTTTTTAGTAGGAGTCTGTCAAGTTTAAAGTTTTCTACTTCATTTAAGTCACCTATTAATATTGTTTTGTAGTTATTTTTGTTTAGTATAGAAGAAAAATATGAAATAATATCTTTTTGGAATTATTTTTTTTCTTGGACTGGGAAATAAATTTGAATTAGTTTAATATAAAGATTTTTAAAAAAGATGTCAATTTTTTAAAAAAGTTTTTATAAGTTTGGATTTTCCAATATGCTTAGCTAGTAATTTATGAATTAATATTCCTACACCACCTTAATGAGCATTACTGGATGTCCAAAAGCTTTTGTAGTTTGTTAATTTTTGAAAGAGTCTAAAATATTTTGTCTCTTTAATAAATAAGTGTGTTTTTGAAATACCAAAAATGTCAATTTGGTTTTCTAAAATAAAATCAATTAGACTTAGTTGTTTGAAGTTATCAAGAAGGCCATTGATATTTAAAGAATATATTTTGATTGATTTCACAATTGGATTTTCTAGAGATAAGTTATTGTAGTCTGTGTTTGTGGTTGAAGTAAGTAGTTTAGAAGTGATGAGTTGAGTAGTTGAAAGAGATTTAAAATAATTTGAAAAAAAGATATTTTAAATCTTAATAATAAATAGTTTGTTTTAAATAGGATGTTTTGAAATTTTAAAAGATTTTTGAAATAAATATATAAAAAATTAGATAGAAGATTGGGTTCCTATAATAGGTGAATATGTGCTTCTTCTTGTATATTATTAGTTATTTTGATATAAATTTTAATGTATGTTCTAAGTAATAGGTTGGATATTTATCTTGGATAAATTTTAGAAAGGAAAATAATATTTCTTATAATGTTACTAAAACTAATCATTAATGTTTCTTTATAAATCCAAAATAAACAAGTGCAAGAAATATATTATTAAATTAAAAAATAAATTCTAAAGTCTTTTATATACAATTTTATTGAAATATAATTCTTGAACTTGTAGAAAAACATTTACATCAACATATGTTGTTACCAACTATTGACAAAAATTTATTAATAACTTACAACAAATTCAAATTTCTGCAATTAAAGAAACATTTGAATTTTGTTATAATAATGGTTTATTTATATATAGTATTACTATAAAATGAGTAATATTAAGATAGTCACTGAAAACTATGGACTATATCTTCAAGTTCAAAAATATCACCTTTATTAATAATAATAATTGTTGAAACACATTGGCAAATTATAAAACATAACTATTTATACAAGTTCAATAGTTTGTAATTAGATTTTATCTATTTTTATTCTTATTAATCAAATAATTTTAAATCAAGTACAAAGATATAATCTCCTTATTAATAATCAAAAATTATCATCATAACACCAATATATTAAATTATAATAGAAAAAAACTGTATCAAAACAAGTTACAAACAAGAATAAATATTTGATTGATCATAGTCATTGGATTTGTTTATGTCTCTCATTTTGAGAAAGTAAATTTTTTATATGTAAACACCTTGTTGCACTAATTGGAATAATGGATAGTGATTTTTTTTATAAAGTATAAATTTACTTTTGTTATATTTCAAATTTATTATATTGATATAAATTAACTTTAAATTTTATAGGTATGTCAAAATAAAACCTATCTGTTTATATCCAAAACTGACCAAACAATTTGGAAGCTAATTAAAAAAAACAAAATAATAAGTAATGATTTTACAAACTTATGGTATAAAAATTTGAACCTAATTTCAGATAGTGAAATATACACTAATGAGATAGATGATGAAGAAAATTCTAGCAATGATAAAAGTGCAGTTGAGATCAATGAATGACTGTCAATAATATTCGATGAGGTATATAAATGCTATTTAAATGAATTCAATTGATAATTCTATATAAATATTTAGTAAAATTTTATATAGGCAAATACTTTTATCTCTAAGTCATCTAATCTTCCTCAGCAAAAAAAATAACTAAAAAACATTGAATCAAATTTTAAACCAATTGAACATATACTTAATGATCCAAACAAATATGAAAATGCAAAAAAATAGAAGAAAACATGATCGGGAAAAAATAAAAATACATTTTATTGGGAATAATATAATGTAATTTTTTTTTTTATTTGTGATATAAATAGTGTAGTAATAATTTGAACACATTGCATAGATATATTTTGCAAAAATTGAAAGAATTAATATGTACCAATTTATTCGAATTTCACATTCAAATTATACTATACATAAATTTTCAACTAGTATTTTGTGAAGCATAAGATTTTGAAAAACGGATATTTTTTCAGAGAAATTTAAACTCAGATACGTAACTTTTTTGGGGGGGTATGCTAGGGTGTTCTAGAGATGGGCAAATCGCGGTTTTTCAAAAAATCCTGCGCGGTTGAACCTTAATTTTGATTGGCCAACGTCTGTGATCGACAAAATTTTGGTTCGCATTATACATAATCTTGGCCGGAGTTTAATTTTTTAATTGTTTAAGGTTTGGGTCTGTGTAATGGTAAAATTAACCCAGGAACATATTTTACTTAGGGTTTAAAATTACATTTTACAAATTTACAATACATGTAATTTCACGGAATATATAGTACCTAGAGATGGGCAAATTGCGGTTTCTCCAAATATCCCGCGTGAGATTCATTAATTTCACTTAATGGGCAGCCACGATTTCTTTATAAAAATTCAAGTAATTTTGTCTAAATTTTTGGTCGTTGTCGTTGGCCAATCAAAATAGTGAATTTTCACGTATTTTTTGCAAGGTTTAATAGCAGTAATTACATTAAGCACGTCCTTGGTTAAAGGTTTCATCTGATCCAATTTTTGTTAGATGATTCCAAATATTATCATTACTACGCATGTTATTTATTTTTAAAAGAGTGACTTAATCATAAAGAATATTTTGTAATGTAAGCGAAAGATACCAACGGCAAAGAAAGTAAATTCTTATCATATATATAAATAAACATATGTGTGAAATGGTATGCAAATAAATTTTAATTAGGAATTAGCTAAATATGTTAATGCAGGTCAGATATTATATTTATGCTAGCCAGATATTATGGTAATGCAGGCCAGATAATCTTATTTCGGGATCATATTAAAAATCCTGCGCGTGCCCATCTCTAGTGCCTGCATAGATTTCTCCCGTTCCTGGTTTTGCGCGACAACGTTGCGCAGCTACTTATTGAATAATATAACATATAATATTGTAATATGGTAAATTTGTAACGATTATCGTCACAAATGCATACACACGTTAGCACACAAAGTCACAAGGAAGGATCATCCAATCAAGTGCCAAGAATTGCAGACTCCATTTAACTTGTCAGTAAACCATACTCTACGTATTTCGTACTCCATTCCTGGTATATAAAACATTAGTATTATTTCATAGACATTAAGTACTTTATAATACCATCTGATGATTGTGACAATCTAAAGTAGTGACCTGACCTGGCTAGAATCATGTGCATGAAGGTCTAATTTCATGGTCAGGTGCTACTTTAGATATCTAAAGTGGTAATCCAGATAAATCAGTATGGAACGGGTACTAAATAAATATATATTCAAAATTAATTGCCAAACTATGGTTACTGTATCGGCTGAATGGGAGAGCGATGCAAAATGAATGCGCAGTGTAGCTCCGACTGTTACTGGAAGTTATGTGGATTTAATGATGCAAGGGCATAATACTTCTATAAGGGCAACTTAATGATGGTATGAACTTAATGAGAGAAATCATTATGACTATTAAAATAAATGCTTCACTTTTTATACATCTGATCAATGTGAGAGAGAGCACATTTTGGAAACTATTCTATAACTTCAGAGGCACCACGCTATCGTGTTAGCCTCAGTCAATATGCACACTGCTTAGGTGATCAATTATGCCAAAAAAAAGATAAGATCATAAAATTAGTTCATTATTACACTACTTGTCATACCTAATCACTAGCGTCGAAAACTCCCATGTAAGTTTAGGTATTTCTTCTGTCTTGTTTATAAACTAATGGATTTTTTCAGGTTAATTTCGCATTGCTATTGTTAGAGATGAAGTGGAATAGCCACACCTCAACAATGCAAGGAAAAAAATAGCTTCAATGTACGATAGATGGGCTGATTATGTAATGTTACTACTAAGTGTATAAAGGCGGGACGACTTGGCAACTAACAACAGTAAATATTGTAATAGGCTGCGATATCCTTGTGCTTTTAGTATTAATTTCTGTTTGCATACGCGAAAGCCAAGTACTTTAAAAAACCCACCGTATATCTAACATCTCTCCTCAAAAATAAAAGTCAGAAAATGATATATAAAAGGCTTAGGCCCCTTATTCATGTCATTAGTAATTTTTATTGATTACAATGACTTTCCTTTTTTTCTTATTTATTTAATTCCCCAACAAGAAACTATTTTCTTATAGAAGGTATCGTGTTACCACCGACTCGGCTACAGTCTTATCCAAATATGACGTTAATACATTCAAAGCCTTATTCGGGTCCGATCATACGTAGATTTTATTTCATTAGATACCTTTCCCTTTTGTAGTTTGGCCATACCAGGTCATATACAGCTTCTTGCATATTTCACGTTCACTTTTATTTTCTCACGGGCATTAGCGTTAGTGGTCGCATAGCGGCTTAGCAATGGTTTATTCACGGTCTTTTAATAGCCTTGTCTCAGATCTGGATTACGTGCCACGAACACGTTGTAAAAAAGTATGGTGAGTATTTTTCCTATTTTGACTTTACATTGTATGCAATTAAAGCGATAGTGGAAACGGAATTTAAATGCATTCAAGTTATTCTGTTTATTATAAATGACTGTTTGTAACCAGGTAATGTTCTTGTAAACTGGTGAATGATCCAAAGTCAATCGGCTAATCAGAACCTGATATCAATAGAACTTACATTCCGGTGATAAAAAATCCTCACAGTAACGGCCCGGAAACTATTATGTTTCCAAATTCACCCAGAAAAGTCCAGTGAACAACACTAAACCGGTAATATATAATAAATAAACAACAATTTGAATATTATTTTTTGGTTAAAAATTTTCGGCAATTTGATTTCTTGAAGCAGCCATTGCTACTAACATTATAATAAATAAATATTGATTTCTTAAGCCACAATAAATAAATAAATATTATTCAAATATTTTAATCCACATAAGATATTTTCCGCAATTTGATTTCTTGAAGCAGCCACTGCTACTAAAGTTATAACAAATAAATATTGATTTCTTGAGCCATAATAAATATATAAATATTATTCAAAGATTTTAAGCCACATAAGATATATTCCGCAATTTGATTTCTTGAAGCAGCCACTGCTACTAACGTTATAATAATAAATATTGAGTTCTTGAGCCATAATAAATAAATAAATATTATTCAAACATTTTAAGCCACATAAAATATTTTAAATACAGTAAATTTTTCACAGTTCTTATTTTAAGATCATTGATCATTGATGGTCCGTTAAAGTTAGAATATATTATTATGTTGGCATCAACTAGTAAAAATGACGATATTAGTATCGAAATCAAGTCCGAAGTCAAAGAAATGAAACCTACAAAATATTTTGCAATCAATCCTGAGGGTGAATTTGTAGTCGAATTTGTAGTAAAAGAGAATTTTGGTAAATGCTTTGCGAAATAACTGTTTTGATTAATTAAACAATTTGTATAATTAATAAACTTTAAAATTCCTTCATTTAATTTAGAATTTGAATTACAACTATATAATGTCGACCTAGATTATAACTTAAAATTAGAAAATACTCCAGATTTATTTAACCAAGAAACTTCGTACAGAAAACTTTCACCTCTTCCTAAAGTATTTAGCTTTACTAAGACAGATCAAGAAAATCAAGAACTGACTACATCTCCTACTCAATTTAGCTTTATTGATACAAACCTAGAAGCGATCAAGAATACAAATATATTAAGATGGTCTGTTTCTGTATCAGATAAATCAACAAACGTATCAGAATTTAGAGAATTTAGGTTATTAGCTATATCTTGTATCAGTCTTGAAGATATGGATTATTATACGAAAGATTCTAGTGAAAGAGATACGACAGAAACCCAAAACAAAGGATTTACATTTGTTTTTATTATTGTTAAACTTGAAGAAAATTATTTAATTAGAAATGATAAAATGTTATCACTTGAATATGGTGGAATAGTCAGATTATTTTCTAACAATGATAACAATAAAAAAAAAGGCAGTAAAAGACCTGATGAAGGTTTCATTATAATTTTAACACTTTCAGGAATCTGCAAGTATCATTTGAAAATGAGGAATATATATATTAACATAAATGATACTCAAAAATTAAAATATCCAAAAAGAATATACAATGCAATCAATAATAATATATTTTTTGAAGATCAAGATAGGTCTGCATACAACCTTACATGCGCATATATTGAAAGTTGTTTAAATAAGCATTATTTTTTGGTTGATACTATTAAAGATGAAATTGGATACATAGAACTTTATGATTTAAAGACAAACCAATTAGTAAATATTTTTCAGAGGAAGATTTTAAATAAATGGATCTTGCTAGATCATCCTACCTCATCATATGCAATATCGAACAATAATAAATTATTAGCATATGTGTCGTCATCTATCAAAGGAATAGAAATTTATTCGATCGAATGCGGTCTTAAAATAGCAGATATTGCAAATTTATATACTTCAGATAAAAAAATATATAATAAAACAGATGATAAAGCAGATGAAAGAACAGATGAGGAAACAGATGATGTAAAAATATTTATTGATTTTTTTCATAATGATGAGATGTTATTTATATATCTTTCAGAAGATAAATGGACTGTCTGGAATATTTTTGGCTCATTACGAGCTTCTGTTAAATTAGAGAAACCAGGATTCGCAATGAAACTTCCATTAGTAGAATTCGGTGACCATTATAAAATAAAAAAATCAAATTCATTCATGATCGTTAATCAAGATGACAAACTGGTTGTTTATGATGATTATATCATAGATAAATATTTTAAATGTTATAAGGGAAATAATAAACAAAATTGGAAGTCATTATCAAACGAATATCTTTTGAAGAATGATTTCAACAATAAGGTTCGAGATCTTAATGATAATGAATCAAATTTAGATAAAAATTATAAAATACTTGAACCTTGGTTATTAGATTCTTGTGGATATTCACAATATTCATTTTATCTTGGCGAGAAAAAAAAAGGACAGAATGATAGACTCCTTTTAATTGGAAACCATACAATTCAAGTTTGGTACATACAAGATAAAAAAAGATCACTTGAATTCATTCATGTGCCTTTATCTCATGCACGTTCTTTTGACATGCATAAAATTTCTGAGAAAGAATTAAGAGGATGGGAACTTCAAGCGATAAAAGTAAATGACTTCAATTATTGGACCGGAAAATTCAAGCTTAGAATTCAAAATATCGAAGATCCTCATCAAATTAAAATAGATGAAATTAAAATGGAAGATGATGAGGATTTTTTGAATGTGCCAATATATGCCTGTTATGCATTTAAATATTTATCTGCTTACAAAAAGGTTGAATGGCACCTTAGTAAGGATAGAAAATTAAAATTCAGTAGAATTCTCAATCATACGCGAAGAATAATATTGAGATTTGTTAGATTGCATCCAACTACTTGGCGATTATTAGATGTTCGCCATGATTTAATGAATGTTCTTATTGAAACTAGGGATTACGAACTTGTGAATGACATTTTATCTTATGGAAAATCGACTCATATACCTCAACATCTTCCATGGTCTGGCAAAAAAAATCCTATTCATACTGCATTATCGGGTTTGTAAACTTAAACTCATATACAAGTAAATGGTACTACATATATCATGAATATTAAAATTTTATTTACTTGGCCAAAGATCCTACTATGCTTGCACTTTTTTTAGAATATTATTCTAATAACGCAACCAATAATATTGGATGGATGAATACAGTTGTAGGCATCATACCAGAATTATATTCGAATAAAGAAATGAATAAAAAAGAGGATGGTAATATTTATTGTATTAGAATGAAATTAATTTGGTCGGTTATAAATTTTATCATATTAACATAATTGTATGAATCTCTTTATAATAATAATCTCCATATAATAGAATCTTATATATATTATGCTCAAAAGTTGTTTTATCATTCCTGCTTTTTTAGCAAGCAATTGGATTTATTCTCTTTTGAATATATTGAAATTCCACCAGAGTTAGATGGTTTGTTAAAAGTTTATGTACCTATAACACAGTTAATTCCACAAGATTCCAAGTTGAGTCTAAAAGAGATCGCGTATGAAAATAATAATTACATTAAAATCAGTTTTTTTGTTATTTCTAATATGAATTAAATTCATTTCATTGTGATTTATCACAGTTCTGATAAAGCTGGTGATATTCGAGTGGTACCTTTACCAAATTTTACAACTACTGAAAGAATGCTGTCAGATGTGAGAAGAATAAATCGTACAATAATTCAAAAGTTAATAGTTCTTCCTAAATATTTATATTTTAAAGATGAAGATTACAGTCCTTTTATTAGAATAATAAAAAAAGTTGATCTGGATATTTTATGTGAAAACCCATCATTGGGGGCTGTCATTAATTGGATGTGGTATTCTTCTAAGTCCTATTGGTCTAGAACTTTGTATTCTTTTATTTTGTACTTTTTAATTTATTCAATTATTTCTTGGGCGTATATTGCTCATCTTCAAATAACTGGAGCACTTCAGCATTTCCCAATAATGACAATAATTGTATTATTTTATTATTTATCATATAATCATATTGCAATTGAATTGAGCCAACTTTATCACAATAAGAAATATTTTTCAGATCTTTTTAATTTAGTAGATCTTTCATCACTTATTATTCCGATATGTATCTTTAGTTATATTTTGATTAATTATTATACATTTGACAGCGGATTTAAAAATGCTGAAAGCAGTAAAATATTGACATTTATTATTTTTTTAAGTATTATAGTCCTTTGGTACCAATTTGTAAGTATACCTTTTATTTAATGTCGTGGCTAATGCTAAGATTAAGGGACTCTATTTGAAATATGTATAAATCCTACAAATATCTTTCATTATAAGTTATTCCTAAATCCTAACTTAACTATAAACAAAAATGCACTCCATAAATTCTAAAAGCATCAGCTATGACATTTTATTTTAGACTGTCAAAAATATTATTTTTGTCTTTTAACTGTTGCTTGCTTTTATTAGATTTTACTGTTACGTATATTCGCAGGTACAGTATTCAGTATTCGTTAATAATTTTTCTTGAATGCTAATTACCTAAATTTACACTTATAACTATCATATAAAACTTTAGCTTTTGCGCTGGATCTTCATATACTCTTAAATATCATCATTAAAATAAGACAATTTTTGTTGTTTTTTCTCCTAACTATCGTTGCAATGGTAATAATTATTATCCTTAGATGAACATTTTTTTTACTTTTATTCACACTAATACTATATTTACACTTTAATTATCATGCATATTGTTAGGGACACGCATTGTGAGTTTATCCTTCAATTTATTTATTATCTGTAATTTGTAACTCAAATTATTTTAAAATATTAATATTAATTATGTATACCTAGATATATTCTTCTTGGTTATTCATATTACATTGGAATAGGTGAAACAACCGAAGATGGACCATTTTCAAATATTGTTAGTGCCATACTTGCAGTATATGATTGGTCATCAATATCATTAGATGCATGGAATTTTTGGCCACTTACATTAATTAGTGTAATTGGAAGTTTTGTTTTTATAACTATATTACAAAATGTAATCATTTCATTTATGAGGTATATTTTTTATCTTATAATTTATTTATTATGTATTATCTTTTATTATTAATTTTTCCACTGACTTTTTAATTATTTTTAAAAAAAGTGACGGTATTACAGATGCAGTCAAAAATAGTAGAAGAATATACGGTTATCAAATTGATTTTATTTATGATTTTGCACTTCTTGATAGATCGTTAGAATTTAATGAATTAGATTCTAAGTTTACGGATAAATTAAATATAAAATACATTTGTTTTAATGATGATCCGTCCATTACGGATTCATGGAAAGAGAAATCAGAACAAGAGAAATCAAAGCCATATCCGAATTTTCCAAAATTACATAGGAGTGGAATTGAATCTTGGCTAACTGAAAGTTGTTTATTTATTTGGGAAAGAAAGGAAGAAACATTAGATATTAAATTTTGGTTCGATTAATCTTGAAAATCAATAGAATTTTAAACAAACAAATTAGTAGACATATAGGTATTATACAACTTGTATTAATGATTTAATATTTATATTGGCTGAGTAATGTTTTGGCATATTCAAAATAAAATTTTAGATGATCTTTTATTAAATAATATCTGTAATAAAATTATTTATTTACCTCTTAGACCGTTTCTTCTTAAATTTGTCCTGAAATTTTTTTAAAAATAATATGTTTAAAATAAAATTTTAAATATTAATTTTAGCAGTATAGTTTTTAAATAAAAAATATATTTTAAGATCTGTTTTATTAATTTATTAAGAAAATTTTTTAAAATTATTAAAAAAATTTTGAGTAATAAAAATTTAAAGTTTTTGTTTGGAAATTTTTATTATAAAATTTTCTTTAATTTTTTTAAAATTTTATGTTTTCAACTAAATAAAATTTTTTTATTTCTAATGCAAGTTTATTTTTTTACAAGTAAATTACTTATATGTTAATAATGAAAGTTGTCATTCTTTATATAAATTTCAATATTGTTTAAGAATTATATTTTTAATATTAATATTTGAAGAGTTTATCAAAAAACTTGTAAATTATTTTTTAATTAAATTTTTTATAAATTTATCTATTTTTGTTTTATAAGTAACTTAAATTTTTTGTCTTAAATGTAAATATAAATACTATAAATATAATTCTTATTTTTAAATATTATTATATTAAATTATTTAAATAAAAAAAATAGATTAGAACTATTTTTATAATTAAATTTAGAGTAAATTTGCTTTAAATTTTAAATAATTTAAGAAATAGTTATGCTTATATAAATATTTGCTTTAGAGTCAACTAACAATATAATTCATAAGCAGATATATAAGTATATATTGGTAACCTACAAAAACGACCATAACTCTTGAACCACTGGACAGAATTCGATGAAACCACTACCATTCAAATCAGCTCACTAAGACAATTCTAATGAGGTATAGATCATCCATTTCTGATTACAGGATCACAAGATCGAATCTAATAACCAAATTAATAAGAAAGCTGTGATCTGATTGGTTGATGATAACTACGCGAAATATCATACATATAACATATATCAAATTTATGTGATTTGAAACATCTATATTTTATATTATCTTTAGTTTA